TGTGTGTGTGTGTGTGTGTGTGTGTGTGTGTGTGTGTGTGTGTGTGTACACTGTATATTTTGGCTGAAAGTGTTACATTTCCAGTGATGGTTTACATAACAACACTCATCCTCTGCCACTAGATGGCAGCAAAATCCATCTCATCAGTTTTCCATGCCCATCACTGGTGGGCAGTCTGTGGTAAGAACACCACCCGACTATGTTCTACGATGATGGTTTGGCTCAATGAAAGAGCACTCAGCCAACCGGCGCTAGTGAGAGCTGCTGTGATGTTTGACAATCACTGACGAACTGCTAATGGTCTCCGTTTGTGGTCACACATCCACACTGACCCACTGTACCAGATGCTTCTGTTCAAGAAAGGCATTCTGATACTGGTTCACACTCACAGATATGTTTAACCAAGCAAATGTCTATGAACAGAGTCCCCTTAGAGGAATGTAGATGCACTAACAAGTGCATTACAATTTAAAGATTTGGTACAATGGAGGAGAAACCAGCAGTTGTTGTGACTGAGTCCACCCCTGGAGAGCCTCCAGGGGTGGTCCAACAGCGAGGAGCAGTCCAACAGCGAGTGGTGCTTCCACTTCAACTGCTCCAGTCAGTCTGCGCCACTTACTGTTTATATCCTTCTTGTTCAGTTCCCAGACGCCTCAGCTTGAGCCGTTTGAGACGTTCTGCCCACACCGCTGCTTTATCAGTAATTTCTAATTCATAAAAACATCAAACCGACAAGCCTCCATTCAGCTAACGTAGCTAATTAGCTCGTTAAGGGAGGAGAAGAGAGGAAGTTAGCCGTACATTAGCGGGCCAGTTGGAGCTGAACTTTAGAAGATGTCGCGTGTGTGGAGATATCAGCAGCAGACAGATCGTAGGTCAGAGAGTCCTCGTGGATTGTGTGGGCGTGGCAGCTCGTGCTGTGTAGGATCTGTAGTAATGGGTCATGGTTTCTCCACCTGACGTGACGTGTCACAGCCAGCCTGGAGTTCTGTTTCTAAATCAGCAGTCTTTATTTCAGGACTGTTATGGTCCACATCTGGCTGTAGTTTAGAGTTAAAGCTGCGGTATGTAACAGTGGGGCTGTGTATCGTTTACACAAGTACATTACCAGTACTCTTAAAGTTATGGTATGAAGTACTCTACTAGTATGCTTATCACTTTATTTCCTACTTCATTCGATGCCCATCATGTGAATCGAAGCTCTCTGTTGCGTAAAATGCAACGACTACACATTTATTTTCAACAGGCGTGTAGTAAAGCCAGACTTTCAAATGTTTTGGTGGCATCTCGGCATGCTGAACTTCCAAATACGTCAAAGACAGCGCGCTCCAGACTGTACGGTTGTAGCTGCAGCGGTAGGTGGTGGCCGCTTGTGGTGATTGGCTGCTTGCAAAACCAGACAAATGGTTGTTTCGATACCACCTGGTTCTGGGTCCTTTCAGTCCACACCTAAAGGTATCAAGTACCGATACCCAGTGTTACTGTCACAGTAAGTCAGAGGGGGTCTGCACTAGTCCTGCTGTCCTCTCTCAGGCATATAGACATCACGGCCACATCAAATGCTGGACGCAGGAAGAAGAAGAACAGATTTTGCAGCTTTCTCAGTCGATACAGCGCACACTGAGGAATTTATCGCATCAATCGACTGTATTGACCACCAACACTAATTGGACGTCCACATAAAAGGTGGAGAATTTCCCCTTTTTGTAAGGTCACCTGTGTGTTTGAACAGCTCCTGTCTGCTAAATATGTGACTTTATTGTGTTTTCTTCCCAGCACAAGAAAGCAGGGTCACAGAAGCAAGTCCCTCGATGTATAATATTTGTATTAACATTTTTAATTTAAACTGTATTGCATATTGCAGCATTGGGGAGTGCCGGAAATGAGACGCGGTACTGCCACATGACATAACGATGCCAGTTTAGGAAGGAAAGAATCCTTCACTGCTGCCAGGAGTCTGGATAGAACAGTTGTTGTTCAGTTCCGCCATGCTGTTTGTCCTTATCACAATATGTCCCACTGTTGGCTGGATTTCTAGGCATCTACACATAACTCATTCCCTTTCACCCTTCTCTCCATCACAGCCATCTACAACATCGTGTCACAGAGGCAGATGTCAGGGCGAAGTGACTCAGACTTCTCGCCGGCTTCCAACGTAGTGCCCATCACGGTGGAGCCCACCCAAAACTCAGCCAGTAAGGGTGTCTGCTGCCAGAGCAACTGAGGCCTCAGCGCTGACTTCCTCCTTCACCTCCAGGCAATCGGAGAAACAACCAGATAGACAGACGGGTGGACAGGGAGAATCGAGAGACGGGTAGAGATTACCATTTCACATGAGGACAGTTGTGCTGGGGCTGATTTGCTTATTGTCTTCTGAAGACGACTTAATACATTCTGAAGAGGGGGACCAGTAAAGGAGGGGTAGAGGAGAAGTTTAGACGGGGGTGAGGGTGGGGTTAGTATCGATGGAAGGAAAACGGGTGAGATGCAGCGTATCCAGTGCATTCAGCGTTTGATCACAACTGATTCACAATCTGACAAATGTAACGCATTATAAGGTCCCTTTTGTATCTCATCACGATTTCTGTCTTTCAAAACTGTCCTCCCTTTTGTCGCCGCAGTCATTCCCATTTTGCTTAAATGTATAATATTTAGAAAACATAACGTCCCTTACGATATTTATTGAACACTCGATTAAGGTCGTCTCTGGCCAAACCATTTTGCAATTTAACAATATTTGGTTTTGATTTTCCACACTGATCGCTTTGCTTTTTGATGCCCACAATCATATCTCAACTAATGCAGGAACAAGGGTTTCAAGTCTTTTCTTTTGCCGAAATGCAAATGCTGGAATTTGGTCAAAGTTGGTTGATTGAAGTTGTGTTCCACTCAGTGCAACAACATCCCTCTCTACCAGTGACATGTAGTTTCCTTTTTAAATGCTTTTGATCTTTGTTTGGAAGGCTTTCCTGCGCTGTGCACTCTGTACGCTACAGATGAGTCACGCTCTTGCGGCGATCCCGTCTCGTTGAGAGTTAACGCTGTGCAAAGCTTGCATCACTAGTGAGCGGGTTAACCCGCCTCACAGTGGCTCTCCTGGTACCCGTCTCACCCCCTAACCCTGAACCTTTGGGTGCAGTGGGAGAGATCAGGGGAATTGGTTTAAATGCATTGGCAACCCTGTGTTGCTGCTGCAGCAGCTTCTGCTGCCTGCTTGCTGGGATAGATGGATGGATAATGTTTCAGGGGATGAGTTGGTGAGGGCACTCAGCCCTGCCCCGCTACTGTGGTCTCTGATGTACCCGAGATGGCTTGTTTTACTGTAAGTGAAATCCTCCACTGCCTGCTACCTACTGCTCTCTCTCTCTCTCCACACTGTATGTAACTGGAACAGGACTCTGCCTTCGGGGATCTCCCCGAGGTCTGCCCTCGCTCTCACTTGTCTGTATTTCCTGTGGGGGGGGGGGGGTTGTATTCGAGAGCCAGGATTTGGGTTTGGTAGGATCTAATAGTTTAATAGGTGGAGGAAAGGGATGGTAGTGTTAGGAGGGGCTTAATTAAATCCAAAGGTTACGCACACAGATGGTGTTTATCCTGGTTACGCGTTTCCACACAAACACTAACTTCTGTTGACTTCACAGGCCTTAAACTGGGTGGTGTAGGTTAAGGCTTTTAAACATTTATTCTAATATATGTATATTTGGACTGCATATGTATAAATAAATCTCCTTTGTTATAGCCTGCCTCTTCTCATGTCTCTCTTAAGCTGTTGTGAAACAATAAAGGCTGCAAGTAGCTGTTCTTTTCATTAATGAATCTGGTGGAGGGCACAATGAATGCATTATATAATTCTTAATGTCCACTATTATTTAATAACTGAATCTTTGCTGTAAAATTATTGTTCCTCTGATCATTGGGATTAAAATATGAATAGTCAATTAAGCCATAAAAGCTCCACTTTGGAGGAAAAAATGCAACCGTTTCAATTGGCGATCATTTCATTTTTGTTTTATTAGAAACATTTACAATACATCTTGAATCTTGGAAAAATAACAAAGAACCAGAACTAACATGGCGCAGATACAATAATAATAATAAAAATGTCCCCAAAAAATGTAATTCACAAAAAAAAAAACATGTGCTATAACAAATAAACCTGCAATATCGCATGCCTTGTAATGGCACGGCATACTGTAACAGAGTTCAAAGACTTCTTTTTTTTAAATTTTTTATTTCCATCCATCAAAGTTGACGGGTCAGCCACCGAGGGCCACACTGGCATCCCTCTTTCACTGTTCACAGAGAAACCAGAAACTAACGCCGGCTGGTGCCGGCCCAAAAACTAATGCACTACGACCGCTATTAGACCGGTATGAAACACCTCTACACTGTGCTGCAACATCTGGAAACGCTACCAAAGACAAACCGTCAGACTGTATTGACCCCTTTGGAAATAAAAGTTGCGAGTTTCACCAGCGAGCGCCACTTCAGTCTCCGTCCTTTACACGCAGCAGAAAATGTGCCGTTGGGAGTGCTGTTAAGTTTTGTTTCTTACCTTGATCAACTCAAACCCGAGAAACATCAAGTAAAACCCATATGAGGTGCGAGCAGTCTTTCATCGATAAACCGGGAACTTGGAATACAAAATCCAACTCTGATGTGGGGACTGAAATGGACTCTTGGTCTGGCTCCAAACTCATGTCAACTTTCCAAAGAGACTCCCAACTATGAAAATCTACAGAGGAGAAACGGCCCAGGAGCAACACCGGCCCTGCACCGCTTCTCCCGTCTAAGTGACCATACAACACACATGCAAGCTAGTACGGTAATGAACCTGTTTTGTGTATACGAGTGCATCTAGTTACATAGATTTACTACACGGCGCGCTGTTGTCCCCTCCTAGATGCCTCCGCTCCATTTTGCACACTTCATCCAATTAGCACATTAGGGGAAAGTCTCTCATGAAGGCTCCGTCGCTATTGATCACAAACTGTCAGAGTAGTGGATGTAGAAAATGTATGAATGAAAAGTGTGTACAAGTTGTGTGCGGGGGGGCCCGCCCCCCCCCGCCCCTGGCTGGCGAGAGAGGGGCCGCGGCTGCCTCATTCATTCCAAGCAGTCGTAACATGTTTTTATAGGTTTTGATAAGTAGAAAGCGAGTTTAGATTACAGAGGAAATGAGTTATGCGTTTCAGTCAGTAACATGGGGTTAGTTGAGGGGAGAGGGGGAGGAAGGGGTTACAGCACTGCACAAAGAATGCTGATGCTGGAAAAATATATAATCGAGGCACAAAATTGATGCTCTGTGACTAAAATATCTCCAAATTCTAAAAAATATTATATTATTTTCTGTAATTATTCCATTGTGAATGCACTGATGTTGAAGGAGTGCACGCCTGAAGTTAAAATTTCAGCCATGGGGAACTCTCTCTCTCTCCGTTCGCTCCATGTAGCAAACGGAGGAGTCGAGCGTCCATAACTTTCATAAATAAAACTTCTAAACTTCTGTTCTCATTTGACTTATTAGTAGAAACTGACCTCCCTGTGTTTAGAAATATATTAACTTCTAGTCATTTTTAATTAAAAAACAAAATGTCTCGAGGTTACTCATAAATATCTTGCTTCATTTTTTATTTTTTTTGCTTTTCATAAATAACATCCAGATACTGACTTTAGTTTTGTTTCCTCTGCTTTCTATGAAATAATAACCCATGTTAGCAAAATAGATCTGAGAAACTGTAATATGTTTTTTTTTTTTTTTTTTTATTCATTTTAAGTTACTTTCTATAAATGTATGTGGAAGAACTCAAATATAGTCTACGTTGAAAACCTGTCGCAAAATTCTTTCCAAACAAAAACTTAAAGCTCACTTGTAAATTGACAAACAATAAGCATAAGGAGTGCATTGAGTCGAGTGGTCTTTTTTGTGTTTTTTCTTTACATTCAAATGCATTTCTTTCTCAATGTGGCTTTCGACAGGTTGGTACAATTGCTTTAAGTGCATCCATTGAAAAATAAGGATTTCCTATCACTCCTTAAAAGGGATTCTACATAAATGCATAAAGACCTTTTTCATATCAAGAGAAGAAAAACATCAACAGTTTCTACCATTACTATAATAGTAAGCTTAATACAATATTGTAAATAATACTAACAAGAACTTAATTAATCCAATGTCACTGTGAGTTGCCCCGCCCCGTCGCTGCTGCGCTCAACTCAAACGTGTTTCATTCTGGGTGAGTTGGACAAATGAAACTTACACCTTAGCATATTCTTAAGAATCATAATTAAACTTTATGTATCACTTAGTTAAACTACACGGTAAATATATGATTTTTTTAAACCGATGTTCACTTTAAGGTCTTAAAGCTTTTTTTTTTATAAACTTCAGGTATCAGGTGGATGAGTTCTTTAAGCGATCTTAACTGTTTTTTTCTGATAAATCTTACCTACTGTACTATATTTCACTAGCATGCAGTTAAACGTAAGCATACAGTCAACAGCTCCTTCAGACCTAAACCCAGTGTTGCTCAGTTCACCGTCACACTGTCACCGTGTTTACATCCGACCCGGTACCGTCTTAGAAATGAGGACTCCAGCCGGAATGTTCACTGGCTTGTCATTGTCAGCACAATTACTTCTCAGTCTAGTTTGTTTTTTAATTCATGTGGGCAGTCCCTTTTTATCTGAACTTCTCCAGAAGTTTCTTTTAGAAAGATGAAGTTTTTCTCCCATCAACCTAACCCCATGACAATGAAAAAGAAAAAAAAACACGACTCAAAAGGGCCGTGTAAGTGCCAGGATGTGCTTTAAGCCGATCTCTTTGGGGAGAAGTAAGTCTGTTACCGGCGCCTCTGTGGTATTAAACTAATCTTACAACACTGAAACATGATATGCCTTCATCTCACAGATATCGATCGCGTGGCCTCGAAGACTTTTGGGTAAACCAAGTTGATCTTTTTGTTATGCTAAAATAAGTTAACTCAAGTGATAAGTCCTCTCCTTGTGTTTTGTTCTTTGGCTATGTCTGACCTTTTTTGTCTTTTAAAAACAATACAGGTAAAAAAGTAGGTGCAAAACAAGTATAAAATAGAGCCACGAAATGAGAAACGTATTAGTGGGTAAAGATATGCTGTAAGTAACACGTGTGCCTGCGTGTAGCGGGACAAAGAACACTGAGGGTAACGAATCAACGCTCTTCTAAATGGACAACAGGAGGCTCCCGTGTTGCCCCGCCCTCTTCCTCTCACCGCTGTGTGTGTGTGTGTGTGTGTGTGTGTGTGTGTGTATCTCTGGACCAAAGCCTTCAAGACATCAGTCCGTCATAAGCCAAGTCACCGGCTCCTCCTGCTCCCTAGAGACCTCGGTGCTCGAGCTCTGGTCTTAGTGGTTCCTTTACTCTTTCTGATGGAGGCTGTGCGAGAGTTCCTCTCAAGTCACAAGCAATCTGCAGTTTCATCATTTCAGTTTGTCTCGACCCACCCTGTGATCTGATTGATATTCAATGTAAAGAAAAGAATAATTAAACGACTTAAGACCCTGATGAACACAACAAGAACAATTATTTATCCTGAAACTGTTACTAAGTCATTATATCTCTGCTTTTTTTACACTAGCATGAATCCATAATGAATTTTAATACGAGACAGAAACGCAACGGTATTATCCTAATCATCAAGGTCAATTGCTGAATAGAATATTATTTAAAGAACCGACTCTGTTTATTGTCCCAGTATAGTCCTATTATTGCTTTTTATCCTAATATACATAGAAACAGATTTATTCATTTGGGGTTATTACACATACTATTCATTCCAGTTTTTTTTTTTTTATTCGAGATTGGATCTATACATCAGCGGCTTCATAAAGGATATTCACTATTACAGTTTATAGTAATGTCTGGTTAATTTCTTATCTATATATTTGGATGGAATACTAAGTTAATCAGTTTAAATAATATTTCTTCAATGTATGGATCTATCTAATATACTATTATAGTCAAAAAGGATGATGGGACGCATATATATAAAAGATTTACTCTCCCTAAAACTCAGCGACATTTTGAATTCCATATGCGAAAACATTGACGATGACACCCTCGGCGTGTAAAAATAACCAAAACCTCACTTCAAGCGGGCCCATGTCCGGATGTTTGTAACCGATACACATACTGTATTTACATAGATGTTCAGAGCGCTCTCCCATGAAGTACAATACTCATTAACGTATACAGCGTCTAAACAGGGAGACTCTCCAATAAGCCCTCTCTTCATTAAACCAGTGCAAAACTCAAGCAAGTCCTCAGCATTGACTAAATGGACGAGAGGCCCCCCCCCCCCCCCCCCCAAATCACCACTAGTACTACTTCAGCATTAAGAATAACAAGAATCACCATAACACAAAAGAAAATGATAGGGAATCCTTATGTGCATGTCTTTCAAATTCTATGAAAAGTATCTCACCATCAGTGGTCGGTTTGGTATTCATCAAATGTTCTGGCATAAGGTGCTTTACTCTATTATTTGAAGTAAAGTGTTTTAAGAGCCTAATCTCCTGAATCCCTCTAAACCCCACCCACGCTGTTTGATTCACATTCTTTTCTCCAAAAATAAGTATTTCTACAAGTTGTTTGGGGGGGGGGGGGGGGGGGCGGTGCTATCAAAGGCGAAAGTTGCTACCTTGTATGCCAAAGCAATGGCAATATTTGAATACAAAATATTAAGGCGGAAAACAAACTAACAAAAATACTAAGAGCAGCAGTCACACTGCCTTGAATTTGACATTGAAAGCTGAGGGCAAACCACTGTGCAACTCCTCCGTCCGTTAAATGCTAACTATTCTTTATTCCTACATCTGATAGATCTCAGGGTGCTTTTTCCGCGCAGTCCACACGTAATGCGAGTGGTCTGCTTTATACGTTTTGTTTGTTGTTCTTTTTTTTTTTTTTGTAAAAATTTAAAAAAGGAGGGGCTTTTTGAGTCCCGGAAGACACAGCTGTAAATGTTGTATGTTATTTTGGAGACAGAAGCCGAGTATCATTGAGAGGCTCCCTGTCGTCACCGCTGGCCCACATGTGACAACAGCCAGCAGCTCTGCACGACTTCAATGATCAATACAATTGCAAGATCTGCACAGTTTCTTTTTTTGGGGGGGGAGCATACTTCTCTCTTTCTTCAGCAAAAATGCCCCCCCCCCTTCTCCACTCCTATCATTCAACAGCTTTAATCCCTACCCCCACCCGCTCTCCTCTAGCCCTCAGAAATCCCCAGGCTGGGGCTAAGGCAGACGCAGAGGGTGTGTAATTTGATTCAGCATGAGTGCTGGTTAAATGGGGCGTTTCCTCTGCTTTCCTGTCAATTACAATTGTTTGGTTTCATTCTGGAAGCTCAAAGCTAAGGGGGGGGGCTGCCGTTGGTTGAAGCCTGGGTGTCCATACTGAAGGGGGCAGCTGCAGGATGTCCCATACAGTAGCGGGGCTGACACGATCTGCACCGGCGCAGTCACACAAACAGAACCCCCCGCGTTGAAATTTCAGGGCGGTGCTATTGGGGGAGTGGAGGGGGAGGGGGGGGAGTTAATGCTGCACCCGGTGTGACAAGATCACGATCAAGATCATCTCTTTTCCTTTGTAGGTGAGCGCGTACAGTTATATAATTTGGAAAAGGGTACACAGCCAATTTAACGTTGAAAGCAGGTAACTGGGGAATCCCCTGATAACTGAAGATAATTTATTTCTCTCCTAATTCACTCATTGCACAGGCACTGCCAAATTCAGCTAGTGTCTTTCAAATTGTGTGTGTGTGTGTTTTAGGACAAAAGAGGCCCCCTCTCCCCAGTAGGGATAGCTCGGAGCCGCGGCAAAGGAGAGGAAAAAGGGGGGAGGAAGGGGCAAGAGGGAGTGGAAGGAGGGGGTCCCATTCGCCCAGCTGCATCCAGACCATCCAGCCCCCACCGAGTTTGTAACGGTTGGGGCGGGTCGACAAAAAGGGGGGCTTCGCTGCGGGACCCTGTCTTACCCCCTCACACAAGCTCCAGAGTCCCCCCACGCGGTCCGCACCTGGACCAACCCATTTGCCTAATTATCAATGAGTGGATCCAGGCCGTGTCCGAGCACTCCGCAGCCCACGCCGCTACCGGGGCCCAGACAATACGCTACCGCTCGGAGAGGCCTTCGGAAAAAGCAAACGATCAAACTGTAAGCAGGGGCAAGACATAAAAGCCACTCCCCAAAGAAAAGAGAGAATGAAAAGGGGGCTAGGCGAGACCTCCGACTTGGGGTCACAGCTACAGTGTGCCACGAAACACCTGCTCTCGTACAGCTTTGCTAATTACAGGGGGAGACAGCTGGCCCCCTCGGAGCTCACGCACAATGCCGTTGGAGGAAGGATTACTGATTTGGGACTCTGTGTTTTTACAGCGTCAACTATTTTGAATCGGAGTCTGCTGCTGATTCAGGAAACGGTGCGCAGTTTTACTCGGCTTCTGTCCGCGTACCAATTCTCCTCTTTATTTACAGCGCACACCTCGGCGAGACGCTTGTTGACCGTCCTATATCGTTCAGCGACTGCGGCCAAATGGCCACACAAGACAATAAAGCACGGTTTAGGTGGCTTTGAAACAAGTCCATCGGGGGAGACAGATATCGAGAACTAGCCAACTGGACGAATTCCAAGGCTTTCGGCCTCACAAATTAAATCAGTGCTTTAAGCCAACCGAGGAACCACGCGCTTTTCAAGTGCCACGAGGAGCGAGCGTTACCGAGTCTTTTCAACAAACTGCAGTGACCGAAGTGTAATCAATGGCTACTGGAAAGAAAAAAAAAATTCACTGATACTTCATGCAACTTTCACCCATCTCTGTGAATGATGACACCAATACAAATGTGACCAATTACCATAAATAAAGGATGTAATGTCCTATTCCTTTTTTTTAGCGTCAATCCTTCCAGGTGTAAGGATGAAATAAGGGGGCTGTCTTTTGTTGAAAGGTAACATGGCTTTGACTCAAACCAATATATTCACATTTTCATTTTGCTGAAATCAATATCGGTTTTGGACCAATTAAATCACAATCACAGTAAAACTGAGAAGAGGTGGAATACACCTCAGCTCCCGAAATTTTAAGGTATGATTGTGAAAATCCTATTTTAGACCAAGATGATTGTAAGGTGCAATGACAAGTCTACGGTTCTTTTTCTTCTTCTCTCCTTCTAATAACAACATTGACTCTCCGGGTCAGTCAGGTGCAGATTGGGTATCTCAACAATCATCTTCTTCCTTCCATATAAACCCACTTCATGGTAAAATAAAAAATTTGAATAATAAAATGTTCACATTACTGTCTACCTCTGCCTACGCTGTGATTCATGAATGAAAAACAGCAGCAGTCAAAAAACTGAAAATGCAAGGTACTATACTTCTCTTATAAACAAAACTTTTATAAAATATATATGCATATATATATATAAAAGAAAAACTTAAAAATATTTCTTATACTTTTTAGTAAAGCAAGCAGTGCCTTCTAAAATATCTGCTTGATTGTTTGTAAATTTTCTGGAAAACAAAAGTGTGTATTATAATAATAATCATAATAACAGTAAATAATTATTGAACAAACACTGACAAAACTAATGATAAAAACTGATGTGGTTCCTTAAGAGAATATTCGGATGGCCTGTGTGACCTGGGTGTGGCACACTGGGCACTCCGGGTGGTTGAGCTCACAGATTCGGATGGCACACTCCATGCAGAAGAGGTTATGGCCACAGGGCACCAAGGCAGCCGTCACTTTGCTTTCAAAGCAGGTCATGCAGTCCCGCACAGTGATCGGTGGCGAGTCCGGCACTGGCAGGCGGCCCGGGAAACCCTCGCCGGCCGAGATGGGCTCACTGTGGGCGCGGCGGGCCTGGGCGTGAGGCGAGCCGGATACGGACACAATGCTGGTGACTGACGAGTTGTTGTTGCCTCCGCAGGACTCGGGTAAGCCGGGGGAGAGTCTGGTCAGGGGGAGCGGGAGGCCTCCGAAGCTCTTGGACCGCTGCTGGGCGTAGAAGGCCACCTGTTTGGGGTAGTCTGGGTCGCCCCAGCTCTGGGTGCCCTCCGATCCGAAATAAGAGCACGGCTTCTCTCCGGAGCTGGAGAAGTTGCTCTTGCTGTAGATTCCCCCTCCCTCGCCTCCCCCTCCCCCTCCCACCATGGCATCTGAGAAGTTCTGGCGGTAGCTGCTGGTGAGAGGCTTGCGCTGGCCCCCCTGCAGACCCCACACCTGCTGTAGCCGGCTCTCCAGACCGCCGCTGCTGCCCGCCGGGCTGCTTCCGCCGTTCGGCCCCAGACAGTCGTTCTCGTTGTTGTGGTCGTGCAGGCCTCCCGTTCGGAAGGCGATGTGTGCTTCGATCTCCTCGCGAGCCCTCTCTGCGTTGCTCGGCGACCCCGTGATCTCGAAGACGGGGTCGCGGTCTCGGCTGGGCGTGACGATGTAAGTGCAGGTCTGCTGCTGGATGCGCTTGATGGTGGAGCCTTTGGGCCCCACTACCAGCCCCACGACGCGGTATGGCACTCTCACCTGAATGGTGGTCTGACCCGGCAGCGGTGTGGGCGGGGAGCCGCTAAAGGACACCCCCAGCTTGTTGCGGGAGGCCCGGAGCATGGAGAAGTGCTCTGCGGCGGAGATGATTTCACGGCGGGCCAGCGCAACATCCTCCTTCCGGCCAGTGATCAGGAACACGGGCTCCTCTCCTCTCACGGGGGTTTTGATGTAGGTGTTGGTCTTGGCCCGCAGGGCTTTGATCTTGCAACCTGCAGAGTCAACAACATACATTTTAAAATAGGTAAACATGATACATCAGTTGCATTTTGTGAATCACCAATCAAGTCGAACGGTGAGAACACACTTTCCCCATCAACCCGAGCTGACAGAAATCCCCAAAACTCTGATTTATTCACCAATTAAGACCAGTTTAACTTAATGTGTTGCAGGTTTTTTACTGGCAAAGGATACACCAAGTAATTGCCATGATTTATGAGGTTTCCAGAATTTCTACCTATTCCAGGAACTTATGTATTAGTTCTAAATCAGACACACTCCTTGCTAACCGATACATGGATGTTGCAGACGTTTCAACCAGCATCGACATGAGCTGTACGAGCCACAGCAGACGCAATCACTGCTTCACCTCACCTTGAACTCACGAGCCACTACAGTCAGCCCACATGTGCTTGCGTTTTTGGGACATCTACTGCTGTACATCTGCCCTGTTTCTGATCAGAGTGCAATAGTTTACTCTATTAAGTGCTTTTAAGGCAGAGCCTCAATGTGAGAGAGTGCAGGTTAATGTTATTTTCATGACAAATTACTCGACATCGTAATGGGACAGAACGGTGCATACAGTAAATACTTTAGGAGGATTGTCGGGTACGTTTTGAGGTCAAGAGGGAACACGGCGAGGCTCCGTTTGTATTACACTCCGTGAAGAATGCATCGGGCATTACTCGGGTCAGCTTTCATTCAGAAATTCAGGCAGCTCCCTCATTAGGACGTCCACGTTTATTGACGACTTAAACGGAGCCCGTACTCATGTCTTAAAAGAGGCCGGAGCCTTTCTTTTCCTGGAATCAGGAATCTGACCTCGTCTTGCCAGACTCCAGGTGCCTCAGATCACACGGCACATCATCACATTACCCATCTGAAAATCACAGCAGCGAGTATCAAAAGGCTCAAAGACACCCTACGTTGAAGACGAATGTTGCTCTAATGCTACTAAAAAGGCCCACTTTGTTCAGGAACAGTTACTCCTCGGGGACCAGAGGTACGGACAGAAGGATATTTATGCTCTCAGGGTTCAGTATTGCTCATATCCAAAATCTAAAAATCCCCTTGGTGGCCATTGCCTCGTATTAGGCATGTTCCTACCACGAGGGATCAAAGAGCCAATGCCAGATTCCTTCTCTCAAACTACGTTGCACCTTTTAATTAGTCCAAATGAACGCCTCAATTAAAGAATTGTCTGCAAACAAAATAGGAGAGGATTAATTAATCGCTACCAGATATTAAGGTCACTGGAGACAAATTTATTTTGCAGCTATTGAACCGGGGTGCAGGAGTGATTGAAAACAAAGCCACCCTCGATCTAAAGATAAGATGGCACGAGGACACCTCCGGGGAATCGACGCCTGTGACTCCGATCACATCCAACCCTTCCTCTCCGTGGAGCAGGATGCTCCGTTTGCCAGATTCAACCAGGAGAAGGTGGGTGTGTGCGTGGCGCCAAACAACGAAGAGGACCTCGAATCAAAAGCACCTCGTCTCAAATCCCCCCCAAAATCAGCACCTCCTCTCGGTCGAGGCAGAAGGGCCCTCTATCTGCACCCGCCGCTCACCGGATCCACCCTCCGGCTCTTCTTCGGCTACCCCATTCAAATTCAAAACTTACACTTCAGAGTAAAGAACGGGAGCCGCAATGGGAGACAAGGGGGCACTTAGCCGCGCAAACTAAATCCACATCCCCACAGCAAGAAAGAGCAGGTAATGGTTTAAAAAAGGGGGGAGAGAAGCCATCTGAACCCCCTGTGACATTATTCGAGACCTGCTTGTTTTCGTTGCGAGATAAATCAGGATTTGCTGATGGTACCTCACCCACCCTGCAGTCTTTGTACTTCTCCCGGTCCCACCCCCCTATTTCTCCCTCTCCTGACAGGCGACCATGTGGTATTGAGAGTGTGCAGTGAAGTGGGGCTCATGAGGAGCCCCTTGTGTTCAGCTCCAAGGCGTGACTCCCATTCAGCTTTTAGATGCTATACTACCCTTGCGTCCCGGTCCTTGTTTTTTTCCCCTTCTTTTTCCTGCCCCCTCTCGCCCCTTGTGTTCATCACAACAACTAACAACGGGTGCAGCCACACAAACACCACCGCCACGCTGAACAAGGAGAATCTCCTCCTGGCTTCAAAAAAAACCCCAACTTATAGGTTCAGCTCGGGTTCTACACATAAATATGGACAAATACAGTGAAAATCACCGACCGACGTCACTGCAAACAAGCACAAACAACAGGACAATTTATTTTTGTTTGTTTGTTTGTTTTAAAAAGGACTCCCCCCCCCCCCTCCTGGTGCAACTTCTCGCTGAGTCACCCCCCTTTAAGGCCATCCGAGCAACAACACTGCCTTAACGCGCCCCTCCCCTTATCCCCCCCCCCTCCCGACTTTCACACCTTTGTTTGACAGCTGCTGTCATTCAACTTCGGGTCTTTGTTCCATAATAATAATAAAAAACAACCTCCAACTGGAAGAAAAACGGGTAGAATCCGTAACGTGTCTGGAATTGAACTTCCCAACTCGCCTCATTTGATAACAAACAACAAAAAAACACACAAGCGGACCACGCTTCTATTGTCCAATTGTGTCACCGGGGCAGTGCGCAACACACAAACAACGAGCGGAATACATTTGGAGAGAGAGGCTGAACATATCCCCGCCGTTGAGACTTTAAATGTGTGTATTTGGTGTATTTTCTAAGCCGTCGATTCAAAGTGAAAGACATTCCTCTCTCCCTCGCCCTCTCTCTCCAGCCGCACGTTGCCTTTTTTTGAACAGTCTGGCGCGTCTCAGACGACAAAGGAAGCAAGTGCTCTCCACACTCTGTGTGTGTGTGTGTGTGTGTGTGTGTGTGTGTCTGTGCGCTGACATTGATGGCGTGGATGTAGAATAATTCGCCCAGGAGAGGAGGGACGGGGCACAAAAAACACTCCAAAAAACACACAAATAAATAAATAAACACAAAGCGACTCGTGTCTATGTGCGGAGTGCAATGATGAGACCACGAGAACTTGCTAGCAGGAGGAAAAAAAAAAAAAGTGGGAGGCTGATGTCTCGGGGGAGTACTAAAAAAAAAAAAAAAACACGCGAGCACACACACACACACCACTCCCTTTTCTTTGTCAAATAACACCAGGTAACAGTTAGAGAACAAACACACACAAACAAAGCACACGCGAAACCACTGCAGCACTGCTAGTGGGATAAAAGCACAAGTTTGGAGGGGGGGGGGGGATAATATGCAAGCCAGCGGTTTACCTTGTCTCCCCACTATTTCGGCCACATGTTCAGAGCTGGGCACTGGGACGCATTCTGTTATGTTGCAGCCTCGTCCCTTCGTCTCACTTGAGGAGCTCTCGTACAGGGCGCACAACTTGCTCTTCCCTTGCAGGATCGCCGCGTCCCCTCCTCCGCCAACGTTGTTCGTGTGGTTGTGGTGGTTGTTGTTATTGTTGCTCCGGTCCTGCACTCCTGTTGTCGGGGCTCCGCCGCCGCCGTCCTCGCCTTCCCCCCCGAGCCCCAGCAGAGATAACTGGCCCAGCGCGACCCTGAGGGCACGGGAGTCGTCTTCCTCCTCGTCGGGCGGCACGAGGAGACCGTCGCCTCCGAAGCCGGAGCCGGCCAGATCCCCGGCATAGCCCCCGTTTTTCTCCATGATCCCTGCTAAAACCAGCAGGCTAGGCATGGCTAACAAAAGAGTGTGTGAGACAAAGACAGGGGAAAGAGACTGGAGAAACAGCAAACCGTGCCGCCTCCTCCTCCTCGCCCCCTCCTCCTTCCGATTCCCCCCTCTGCGCTAGTCCCTCCCATAGACCGGCCCCCTCTCTCTGTCTCTCTCTATCCGCCAGACTTTTCAGTACAGTAGTCTCTCTCCGAGCTCCAGGCGAACGGGACACAAGGCCGTCTGCGCGATGGATGGGGCGGGCGGTGCGTTGCTCCACCCAGTCTGGTTTACACAGCTCCCGCTCCTCGCCGAGACAAAACGAGCCGCCCTCCCGTTGTACCATTCCGTCTCAGGTTCCCGAGCCCGTGGCATCTCAAATCGAGCTGCCTCCCCGTCGCCACCTATAGAAAGGGAGAAATACCTCACCGTTTACCTCCCCGCCGCCGCCGCACTGTTACCGCAGACTCGTTCCCAGCGACACGAGCTGCGGTGCAGCCTGAACAAAAAAAAACAAAACAAAAAAAACCACACAAAAAAAACCGCAGTTTGGGCGACTTATGTAAGAACAGCCATCCGGGATGTAAACAGTTGCGTTACCAAAAAGGTGCAAGTACGAGTGCGCACATGGTCATCTGGTGGTGCTGCTAAAAAGATGATGTCAACTTTATCATTGAGAGATACAAAAACAAGTGGGCTCGTGCGTTTTTATGTTAGGGGGGGGGGACGTGGACCATCTGACATGAATGATTTTTTTGGGGTAAAGGAGTTTGTGACATTATTTTTGGGTGTGGGGGGTGGGGGGGTCCGCCCACCTCTATGTAGCCGAGCTTTGCGGCAGGTCACCGCGTTTTTGTCTCCGGCGCCGTTGCGCATGAGGATGTTATGTATAGGAGCGAAAGAGGGTGTCTGGGGCGGTGGGGGCTGTATACGAGGAGGAGAAAGGGAGTTGTCAGACAGGCGTTGCAGACCCTATGCAGCGGGGGAAACATCAGAAAAGCCCTCGCACATTTCCCGTTAAAAAAAAAAAGAAGAAAAAAAAAAAACAGCAGCAGCAGCCCCGGTGAACAAAGAACCGCGCCGTTCGTTTCGCGTATAGACTCCCCAAGATGTCCTCGACAGAAACCACGCCTGACGGCATGGTTGTAGTACTACACAAAGACTTAAACTGCAGAATGGATGATAATAATAACAACATTGAGGGAAAAAAAAATATTTATCAATGCAGTTCATACGTTTAGTCAGACCTTTTCCCTTTTTGAAGATTGTTGTTTTGTTTGTTTCAAAAGTACCTGCAACTTCCATTTATTGTTATTAAAATGTGGAAATTATGGCTACATCTATTTACAATGATATGAGCAGAAAATAAAGTGGGGAGATTCCTCTTATGATATAATTATTTTCTGACTTGAGTAGTAAATTATTATTAGCCGTACACTTTGGTCAACACCATAAATATAAAAGCTTTGAGGAAACACTGGAGCTGGTATGGGCTGTGGTTTGGCTCACAGTGCTGAACAACAACCGATGTCCATGTTTTCAGCTTCCTCAAAGTGTCAGTCTGACTGAAGCTTAGCCTGTCATTACCATCTGTGCATATGCATGGTGGGATGTACAGGGAGTATCTGTTACCTGAACGACAAGGAGAACTCTGGGGATGTTTGAGAAAACATTAAATGCTCCACTGCTCCCCCGTTGGTTTTGTTGTTGTTTATTTCTCCACCCCTCCAGAAAAGAGATATCTTTACATGTGAACACTTGATGTTCTCTGATATCTAAATTGCTGTTGGAGGAATTATCTTGTTGTGCTTGCTTTGTGTCCCCAAAGGGAGGTGTTGAATTCACCCCGTGGATAACTTGTGCGTTTTAACCCCATCCATTACATTCAATTAATTATTCCCCACCACGTGTGGTGTTTTCCCACACTGTAACTCGGTTACCACTGAAATATAACAAAATCACACACTCTCTTCCTTTTTGGCCTCATATGACCGACTGATTGTGGCGTGTGTCTCTTACAGAGATGAATATTTTAGCATTTCTAGTGAGGACACCGTCTGCCTTTTAATAACACATAGAATTGTGCAACAATATCATTTCAAACACCAGTTCTGAAAGTAAAAAAACCAACATAAATGTTGCATTGAAATGGTCCCAGAAAGATAGAGCAGGTGTATTCATATGCATAATAACAGTCTAGCCGCGCGCTCTGGGTGCCAATCAGGACGGGGTTGGTTCCCTGAGGGTGCGTTGCAGATGAGAACTCACAGGGAGACTCCTGGTATGAGTCCAGGATTAAAACATCCCCACTCCACCCAATAACAGGGATGAAAAAAACAAAAACAGCAGCAGCAGGAGGAGAACAGGATTGCGTGATGCATGAAGGACCAGAGGGTGGGCTCAGGAGGTCTGGCCCCAATCCCCAAACCCCACCCAGTGGAGAGGCCAGAGGATTGGGCGAGAGGGTGGTGATGGGGGACCAGCAGTGTGGTCGCACCGATGAGGCCAGTGCATCCAAGAGGTCGTCTGGATTTCCATTAAAAGGGGTCTGCTGGGAGTCCAGAGCCCCGATCAATAAAAAGCATGGATCTGGGATAGTGTTCCCCCCCCTCCTCCTCTCCTCCTCTCCGACACAGCCCTCTCTGCCTGCATGTGTGAGTTTTGGTGTGGCCTGTTGGAGGTCTGACTGGTGATGCTGCTGTACCACATAACCTCTGTGACCCTGAACTAAACCGTCTCCGGGCTCTGAATGAACCGCAGCAGGTCTGGTTTTTCATTCAGACCTCAGTTCCTTTAGCTGTGGGCTACGATTGTCATTTGTCTGTGAGTGTGTGTTAGCTGCGTGGTACTTGTGAAACCCAGAGTGCTGAGGTCATGTTACTTGCACATGAAAAAAAAAAAAAGGTCTCAATGATCTTGACCATCTGGTCGTCACAGTAGTGCTGTCCCCCCCCCCCCCTGATGAAAGGCTGACTGGCATCTTTGAGGAGATGTGGTTTACTGTGCCGCAGAGACACATAGAGCCTACCAGCCTCTTTGTCCATGAGCCCATGCAAATATGGCTTTCACCTATATGGACGGTGTCTGTCTCCCACAGAGTACACGCCTAATAGGCTGTGAAGACATGTCTAAGAATCCCTAAAGGACGTCCCTTTGACTTCCACGGCCAGATGTCCCTTTCAAGACTTTTCTGGTGCCCCCGCTGTCACTTGAATGAGGCTTCTGCGAGCACAAAGGGACGTGTTGGCTGAGCACCACGTGCTGATGCCATAGTGAGCGGGCTCTCAGCGATGATGTAAGACCTCATGCAAATGATACCACATCTTTGTGCTGGTAAGCTGACGAGAGCCCTGAAGTCCATCAGCTGACCAGATGAAACTGTAAATCCGGAGGCCACGTTGTGTTTGTTTGTTTTCCCCCTCTATTTTTTTCATTTGTTTGCTTATTTGTGTTTGTTTTTATTTGCTCTAAGCTTTTTCCCCGCTGTTGAGAGAACAGGCCAGTGCAGCAGCAACACAAGTACAGACAGACTGCACATCATGATGATAGAATAAAACAAAAAACAAGCAAAGAATAGATAGAATTTAGAATTACGCATGAAACTCCATCTTCCATCTTTGGGGTAAGTCTGCAAAAATCTCCACACCAAGCTCCACCTTTCAAACCAAAGACAGTTCAAAGTGATGTGGTATTCACAACCTTGGCTGTTTTTTTAAGGCTACAATGATTACACTCCACTGATTATTTTCAGTATTGATTAATGTTCTTGGTCAATTAATCGTTTCGACTTTTAAATGGTGGAAAAATAGTGCTAAATGCTAATCACAGTTTCCCAGAGACCAAGGTGACACGTTGAATACGCTTGTTATGACCAGAAGATATTCAATTTAAAATGATATGAAACAGAAAAAAACAGCAAATCTTCACATGTTGGAACCAGAGAATGTTTGACATGTACTTGATAAATGAATAATAAATTATGAAAATAATAGTTTTGTTATAAATTCATTGTGGCAGCAAATCCTTTGGTTCAACAATCACGTCTGTACTTTTTCCATAAACTCAGTGCACATCAGTGTGTGACACACACACACACACTCACCCGCTAACAACAAACACATAAATGCACTGGGATGTTGTGATTGGGAGAGCTGGTGTCGGCTGGGAATATGAGTCAGGTAGTATGACTTCATAGCTTTTTACAGAGTATTAGGTCATCTCTCTCACACACCCCCCCCTCTCTAATCACATTGATGCTGTGCAGCCAGTGACACGCCTAGTGATGACTAAGGCTCACCTCACCACTCGCTTCCCCCACGGCGGTGATCTCACACACGACACACAAAGCTTTGAAGAGTCCCGCTTGGTCCTCATTCTAATACTGCAGACGTGTCTGTTGATTTGGATCTGGCTTTAATTGGACGCAGTGAAAGTCTACTTTTTTCTCTTTTAAAAAAAAATCTGCACATTAATGCTGTTGATGAATTATGGTGGCTTCTTAGAGATAAACTCTCACACCCTGATTGCACACGACGCAGCTTTAAGATTTAGTTGTTTTTTTTTACATCGGATAGGAGACAAAATGCAAAGTAGATGCACTTTAAAGCCATTAATGTCATTGTCAGACATGTATCATCAGTGATGGAAAGTAATTTACACGTGTACTCTTGTGCAGTTTTAGACAAACACGATTTACTTGAGTATTTACATTAATAGCAGTGGAGGAAAGTAACTAAAAACATTACTCAAGTGGTGTGCAGTACAATTCTGAGATATTTGTACTTTACTTGAGTATTTTTCATTTAATGCTTCTATTTACCTCTACTCCACAGCATTTACCTCGTACATTTAGATTTTACACACAAAATGATTCATTAGTTTATAGAATATGACACATGTTGCTACCCAACAATATGTAAATTTGTTGAAATGATCTCCACTTTTACCAACTACAACATACATCTGTAATAGCACACGCTGGAAGGGCCATTATGCCCTTTCAGTACTTCTGAGACAGTACAGAAGTACATTTAGCTTTATATTGTATTTACTTTAGTAATATGTTGAATAGCCGATGTTTTACATTGTGCTACTTTCACTTACTGTAAGTGAAGGATTTGAGTACTTCATCACTGCTCAGTACTTCACCTCCATTACATTTCAAAGGGACGTTTTGTGCTTTTTTTTGTGCCCATCTATCTGAAGGCTATATTTAACAGTCGCTTTGCAGATTAACATGAAAAAATGTAAAGATCTTGTCCAACTCTGTATGAAGTAAAACAAAAAAGTCTCGCTTGTGTTGTTTTTAATGCTTTGTGGTGACAAATTTGTAAGAAAAGGGTCTTTCAGTGTGATGTGTAAAGGGTTACGGCTTATAAGTATACATATGTTGTACATTTTTTCAAGTATTTTACTTATTGAACACATCGTAGTCTGAAGGCAAAGGTCAATTTCTCCATACAGATTATTTCCTTTACAACTGCACTCCATTAATCCTTTGTTGGGGAGTTTGGCTGAATCCATTTCCGTGCGATGGCTTTCTTGTAGTATTTTAAAGAGATATTCATCTTGAGTCATGAGTGAATATGACAATAGAGCAATCAATGTATATTCCAAAAGTCTTCATTATTTCCTTAGTAATCTTTTGCCAATATGAAAAGATAAAAGGCCAGAAAATATAAAAATGGTCAGACAGTTTTTTTGCCTCCAGCATTCACCGTGCCACTGATAACCCCTTTGAATGATTGTAACTAAAGTAAATTGAATCAAATCAAGCGCACTAAATAAATACAATTAGCATCTTGACCAGCTACAACATCAAAGTACTGATAATGATCATCAAACATTTTATATTTATGATCTCAAAGGGTCAATTTAGCACAATGAGATGCTCTCACTCTGGATACTTTAGGTACATTTTGTTGATAGTAAAATTTATATTTTAATGTGGCACTTTTTGTTTGTATTGAAGCATTTTTAAAGCGTGGTGTCGATTTTATTTCAGGGTCTGCGTTCTAGGAGTTGTGTTTTGGACCACACTGTTATTATTCCTAATATGTCAGAAACATGTTTACTGTTGGAAAGTTACAAATGCGACTGTTGTTCTTAATCTGCATTTTGTGTGTTTGGACGTTTTGAATGGTGCAGTTTTGTACCATGGCATCATCTTTGTTAGATGGGATATACAAATGATGACGAGCTAATACTGTCCTGAAGGTGCACCTCTAGTACCAGAGTGGGCCACAATCACAGCACATTCTCTGATGCCTCCATGTGACCCACTGTGCTGTTCCATCATTTATGATCATTGTGAATGTAAAAAAAAAATGTACAGCTCAGTGACATAGGTCATGTAAAATTCATGTTCAGCTGTTACATAATGATAAAGCTCTGTAAAATATCTCCAGCAGCACACTTGAGTTGTTTTTAATTTGCATTTTTGTTTGTTTGTTTGTGTTTGAGTTTGATTTTGGGATCACAGGGAATTAAACTGACTGCACCCTTCAACTGGGCCATCTGTACAGCTTGCTAGTGGCAGTCACGCTGGTATAGCTGCCTTGAGGAATAGTTGTATGGCGCTTCCTGGCAGGCGGTTTAATTAAATTATCAATTCAGGTCAGGAGATCAATCATTGCCAAAGTGGGGCCCATGTAAAGCGTTCATGTTGTGATAACAGGTATCGGAATTGTTTGTTTAATACATATACACACAACCCCACTTTTGGAGTGCATCTCTTTGCAACTATAGTGTGGAAATGCAGGAACAGTTACACGACCAATAACTCTTTGATAGTACAAGAGCCAATATATATATATATATATATATATATATATATATATATATATATATGTATACATACACAAATGTGTGTATATATCTATCTTTTTTTTAAAATAATTTATTTTTTGGTTCACAAACTTGCATTCACCAGCACCAGTTAACCATACTCTCGGTATAATCTCAATACAACGAGGACCTAAATGTTTATTGTGGCCGCGAGGTGGCGCGCGTGCAGGCTGCATCGTAATTAGCATAGATTGTCAGACTAATCAAGCGTGTCGATTTGCAGGTGGCTGTCGTCTGCCTGCTCGCCTCAAATGAGTTCGCCATCACCGATTTGTCCCAAAGAAAAACCCGGCCCAGTGGATAACATCATGATTAACTCGACTGTGGACATTTTGAAAGGTCAACGGTGACCGTGGAAAGGAGGGAGACGTGTTTGAAACGACTGCAGCTTTTCCAAGGAGCGACGGTAAGACTGTCGAGTCAACAATATGTCGCAGTGTAAATATCTCTAAGATGGCTTTACGTTGTGTGTTTGGGGGCTTTTTATTTATTCCGTTTTTTAAAGGGGACGAGCTGACATGGTGTTGAACTAACTCGTGAACTAAGTGAGAGATATTACCCACTTGGAGGCATACGTTTCCATTCAGTGGGTCCGCCGGTGGATGGCGCTTAGCATCTGTGGATGACTCGAGGTGACCAAACACACGGCAGGGGGCGCCAGAGAGGCGCAGTGTGAGCGCGCTGCAGCTTCATTCAGCAGGGACAGACGGACACGCTGGTACACCCAGAGGTGGAGGAAGTATTCCTTTTTACTTTAGCAAAATACAAATGCCACACTGTGGAAATACTCTGCTACAAGTAAAACCATTTAAATACTGTTGATACTTTAAGTACTTGAAACGTGAACCTCTCCTTTTATAGAAGTTTGAATCCTCTGTACATCACATTTAAGTACAGGTTACAGGTTATTTACAGATAATAAAGCAATACAAATATAAACCGTAAAATAACTGGTGCAGAAAATATATAAATGTTATGTAATATAATAAAAAGGATAGAATAAATTAAAATTGGACAGTTGAATGATTTATATGCACTTTATATATTTTAATCTGAAAAGTAATTGTCAAATGAATACAGCATGAGAATTGTGAAGAACAGGCTCTTGTGCGTTGGACAGAGATATGATGCCGTATCTGAGTCTTTTATTAGTGAATAATGCACTTTGTGTGAACAATGGACTCTTGAGCAGCAGAGATAACAAAGTGAGAGACTGCTTTACAATTATAGCTGCTGAGGTTCAAAGAGCACTCGAGGACAGTCGACGTGTTTCTGAGAAACTGACTGCGCTGGTTTGCCAAAAGAAAGATTAATGTCTCTGTGTGAACTGTTGCTTTGCACAAATAAGTCATCTCGGTTTCGCAACGATATCTGAAAAGTAATCCAGACATGAGCTGTATACGCTTGTCTGTGCAGGAAAAGGAGAAATGGTTATAAAGGATGACAAAGAGGAAGTGTTCCTCAGGTTAGGACCACTCCAAATATCTTTGCCATTACTCTTTTTTTCCCACGTGAGCAGCGAGTCGGTGGCTCATAATGGAGAAATCAAACATCTAGGTTGCACAATGGCCCTGCCTTGTTTTTATTGCTACCTGCTTGGAATGCTGTGAGGACAGGGAGGGAGGAAGGAAGGAAGGAAGGAAGGAAGGGAGGGAGGGAGGGAGGGAGGGAGGTGAGGAATGAAACGCGTCAGGAAGAAGCTGCTGACATGCTGTTCAGTACCTGTCCTGAATCGTGAGTTGCATCACAGTCTGTCATGCCTGCTCCTGTATTCCCACTTGATGAGTGCATCTGGCATTCAGACTGTCAGACAGGCGGAGAGCATCGGTAGCAGTTTATTGTTAATTTGTCACATTTTATAGTTAAAGCAGCATCCCAAAAAAATCTAAAAGCAGAGAGCCAACAGTTGGAAGTGCATCACTGCAAATTTTGGGATCAATTGAGAGCTGAATTGATTAGTAACTATTTATTATAATTGATTCCTTGTTTGGCATTTTGCTTAAAAACTGAGTCAAATGTTTGTTGGTACCAGCTTCTTAAAGTTACTACAACTAACTTTTATTTTCTGTTGATTTTGTTGGCCCCTGTGGATGAAAGTAGTGGAGTTTCTGAGCACTGGAGTCTCTTTTAGTAAAATTCGTAGCTTTACTGAAGCAGGCATCTGACAGTCTGCTACGCTTAGTACTGCTTCTGGTTCCCCCGTCTCGCTGGTGATCTCACTTATTTATGTAGAGCATATCGAGGCATCAGTGTTAACTTGAAACTGTTTCATAACCAGTAAAGAATTCCAAACAGTAACTTTAAAGCTTAGGTAGGCAGTTTTTTGAGAAAAAACACAGCATAATTGAAAATAAAGCCCACCTCCTGCAGCCCTCCTCTCTGACTTAAGCACCTCTCACCACACGTGAATATGCACGCGCTTTATACAGTACTGTACGAGTACACATCATCTATTTCAAACATCGTCCCGATGGTGATTGTGATCCTGATGTTGTTATATAGCGGCAATTCTATGAGAATTAGCCATTTACTTTTCAAACTTGTGGGCCTGTAAAGCCCTTTGAGATGACGTACTGTGGTGTCGCTGCCGTGAGCCTTTTGCTGCAGAAAGCTAAACTATTAGCATCATCTTCTCTCCATCTCTGAGACGCTTGACAGACACATCTTATTTATTTCACTGTCACTCTCTTTGTGATAAGTCTGTCTGTCTTTTTTTGGGGGTTGCTTTGTAGTGTCGGCAGATGTTGCCAATGTTGGAATAGCAACTTTTTCTGCAGACTTTCCCCGAAGGGACGTGCTCGAGCATTTGTATTTGTAGAACAGCCAATCGGGACGTGCGAGTCTCTCGTCGCAGGCTAGATCTTCTGAAGTCTAACAACCGAGCCAAGAGGAGGTGCAGAGGTCTAGTTTTCTCTGAGACAATTTAATTACAATACACTGAAAGGTTATTATGGAATTTCTGCCCAATAACGTGAGAAACAATGGCTACACCAGCGTTGTTACAATTTTTGGACAAAAAAAAGTTTGTGAAATTGATCATACGTTGCTGCCCTAGAAAGGTTTCCCTCTTATTATTCCCTTTTATGGTAAACCAAATGTTTTTATCACTTAAAATGTTTTGCTTGGTTAGTCGCTTTTGTGAAGAAGTGGTTAAAATTTGTAAACTCCGACGTGTTTAGGCGTAACAAGGGCATACATTGTGAATTCAAATGCTAATGAGCAGAGTTTTTAAACTTTTTAAAATGAGTTGATTATTGATCAACTGTCACATTTGCTCTGTAATCTGGGAGTCAATTATTACCTCTTTCTGCTTCAGGGATCTAGCATGCTTCTGACCTGAACATCCCTATTGCAACGTGATAGTGTTTGTGATACGATTTGATTATTGTTGGTGCGCACACACAGCACAAGAAAAGACCAACATGTTTGGAGAGTAGTGGAAAAGCTTGTTGAAGAGAGATGTTTGTGCTGCCAGTTAGGCATTCATGTCTTAGTGTGGCTTCCATGGAAACACAAAAACTTCAAAATGGAGAGACAAAAGAAAGTGAGAGAGAGGAGGAGGTGAACAAGTGAGCTGTTTGTATAGGGATGTGTGACTCAGAGAGGCAGCTTCAGAGGCTGACAGCTCCTTTCCACTGGAAGGCCACGGTGAAGCCAGGATACTCCCTTTGCCACTGGGCCGGCCCCATGCCCAAAAACAGAGATGCTGTCTTGCCCCTTGTTTAACCACACGGACACACACGGACACACAAGCGAATAGACTAACCTCCATTTCCATGGTGAGGAGATGCATACACACAGACACGCACGAATAAAACGTCTTTTCCCCCTGCATTGATTGGACCTGTGACTCCATTAACTCCACCCAGAGGAAATAAATATAAGACCAGAATGAAGTTGGTTTTGGAGAGTCAGACCTTTTGGACTTTCAAGATGACTTGTGGCAACTATCCTATGACCCGCTGGGATTATGATACCAAAGATTTGTGGACTTTATCCTCTTTGGATTCAGTGGACGAGCTTGTCGACGGGTTAGTTTCCTACCATGGATAACAACACAACGCCGCTGTGAGGAGATTAAAGATTTCCATGTACTCTGGATTTGTTTGATGGCCTTGCAATGTTGTTTGTGTGTGCCGAGGTCGTCTCTTTTCCTTTTGCTCTTCATCCGACTTCAGAGTCGGATGTCACAGCTGTTTTTTTTTTGTTTTTTTGTTGTTTTTTTCCAAACTAGAAATGTGGGCAAAGAATGCATTCTTCATAGCAGCAGTGAGGAGCAGGGTGAGATCCGCACATTCACACTCTTTCACCCACCCGGGAGCTGTTCAGTGTCGTCCGCGTCACTGCGTTTTATTGACAGACCAGTCGCTGAGGTCAGTCTGTCTGCAGGGACTCTGTCTGAGTGAAATGAGAAAGGAAAAGATAGGGAGAGATAAAGCTGTAGTGTGTGTACACAGACTGTCTGGGCTGACTCCTCCTCACAGCCCCACCCTCCCCTCTCATGCACTCCCGCCCCCTCTCTCCCTCTCCAGCAGTAGGTACATGTGTGGTGAGCGACAGCTAAGAGAGCAGTTCAGGGCACGAGCCAAAGGCGCACACACCCACTAGCGGAGAGCAGGACTGCATTATTCAACGGATCCTCTTCTCTACGCTCCTCTGGGGTATGGCAGCTCACACACACACACACACACACACACAGCAGCTCACACACTCAAACCAGCAGACAAACTTCTAGAAAGGTCCTGTACTCTCACTTTTAGTCCCCTCAGCAGGCTGAAGTCGAGAGGTTCCCACACAGCCGAGGTAAGGTTCAGAGAGTGTGCTCAGATTTCTGTCTCCCTGTGAGACTTTCTGTTTGTTCAACTGATCGTGCGACTAATGTGCTCATAATATAGTGCTTGTTTAACTTCAGTCAGCTCAGAGTTGGTTTGATTTAGTCAGGGAGTGGTGTGGAGTAACTTTAAAAGTTGCAGCTCATTTTCCTGCCTGCTGTTATAGGAGAGTGGAACATCAGACAGCACCTGTTAACACTCGCCGCATTTTGGGAGCCTAAGTGGATGCTTCATTTATTCAGAATTAGGCCAGAGAGCACTTGTGAGTGTATGGGTTTGCTCCTGTGGGCGTGTGCACGCTTCGTGGGCGTGTGCACGCTTCATGTGCACGCATGTGATGTGTGCGGCAACCCACCCACATGGGCGGGCACGTCCTTGTGTGCACTTTTGGTAATGGGCGGTGGAGGGTCCACCCACTGCTGAATTAAATTGGAGTCGGCTTCCCCGCCGTTTGGGTTGTGAGCGGTTGGCTGCTGAGAAATAGGGTGGCGTGTTGGAAGTCACACCTGTATAGCCACAGGTGCAGTTGATAACAATACTGATACATCTATGAAAGTTGTTGAAGGCCTCATCCATAATCGCTGTATAAAGCTCTCTGATGCTGGAGAAACTGTAGTGCTATTGTATTTTTTAATTTTTTATTTATTTTTTTTTTAATGCAGTGATTTTTAGGATTTACAGAGTCCATTGAAGATTTCAAAGAGGTTCATTTTCAGATATACCACTGCTCTCTTTAATTCATTCTTTGGTTAGCACACATCTATAGCGGACACATGTCCTTATCGGGGCATCTTGCAGCATTTGTTGATGTTATGAGTCAACACTTTGGTATTACCATCGTTGTGAGCGAGAGGATCACTGCAGAACATGCCTTCTGTGGAAGCAATTAGAAGTTGTTTTTTTGTGGTTTCTCTCCATTTTTCCAAAAAGTCTGTGGAGAGCAGAGAAGGAGGGAAATGTTTTCATTTATTTTGGTGTCCCTTGCTACGGCTGCATATTTTAGGAGTAATTAGTGTTTTAATGTTTTAATTGCCTCGTGTGTGAGCCGAAGGTACGGGTTGATGTTCGTGGGAAATATATTTGCTCAGGAGTGAATTGCATAAAGTGGCTTAAATGCTCCTGCAACAATTTACGGGAGCTGGAGGAAATGACTTGGAGGCGTGTTCCACTATGTGGAGAAAATACCAGTGTGAATAAGGGACGTTATCAGGAGCAAACTGTAGCACCGTCTTTTACAAAACAAGAGGGGGTTTGTAATCTGAACTCCTGAGAACCAGATCACATTCCTGTGAGGGCGCTCTGCCTCTGCCCACTGCTTTTAACACCAACTCAACTGCTGTAGAGGGGTAGGTATAATGAAGTTTTACAGACGTGCTCACTGGCTGTGGAAAAAGGATCCTGGAATATATTATCATGCGGATCTGTGAGCAGACCCAGCACCGCAGGCGGGCTGCCCAGACAAGGGTTGCGTAAGAGTGGTACATTTCTTCAGAATAAACTCCATTAAAGTTTAACGTGTGATTCTACCCATGATTTGGTGCACTGCGTTTGCAGAGAAGGAAGCTCCGATACTGTAGTTTTCATTAACTCTTCTTATCTCGCCCTCCTCCCCCCCCACAGCCAGTGACTCACCCCCCTTCTGCACCTCTTGCTGAGCCATTATTACCATGGAAACCCCGAGCCAGAAACGCACCGGCCGCAGTGCCACCACCTCCCCGGCCCGCATCACCAGGCTGCAGGAGAAGGAGGACCTGTGCAACCTCAATGACCGGCTGGCTGTCTATATCGACAAGGTGCGCTCCCTGGAGTCGGAGAACGCCGGGCTCCGCATGCGCATCACCGAGTCGGAGTCCTCGTCCACCCGCGATGTGTCGGGCATGAAGGCCGCCTATGAGGCCGAGCTGGCCGACGCCCGCAAGACGCTGGACCAGGTGGCCAAGGAGCGAGCACGCATGCAGCTGGAGCTGAGCAAGCTGAAGGAGGACTACAAGGAGCTCAAAGCCAGGTAGGAGGAGCTTGTGAGGGGGTGGAGCTTGAGAGGGAGTGGCTTTGTTACAACACGTTACAAGTTATCGTAGTTGTTTATATGATCGTATATTATAGGCAAAAGGTACACACTACATGCACTATTTTGTGCATCCCTCTGAACATGTCGTTTCTCTTAATGCACCGTTAAATGTTTTAGAATAAATCAAAGTTCAAACTCAGCAGAACCACCTGGAGCCATCCAGAGATCTTTCAAGTTGCGTCGCAGGATTGAAAACATTTATTTGCTGTTTTTTGGTTCCTGTGTGGGGGAATTCCCTACCTTTTGTGGCAACCGATCCCACAGTGACTCTGGAACGTTCCTGTGGCTCTGATGCATGAGATTCATTGGCTTTTCACATTGTAGGCCAGTAATGTTTACTTCGTCTCACAGACGAAAAAGGTGATTTGTTCATTTGGAGAACAGAGTTAAGCCACAAAGGCCGGATGAGAATACATTCTATGTGACATGATTTATGTATCATGTCCGTGTATTTGTGGCACGTCAGCCGGTGCAGGTTTGCTCTTGCGTTTGTTAACATGATCTGTTTCACCTCAGAGTTTGAGGCCCCCCAAAATATTTCCTCATAGTGGTTAAGACAGCGCTGCATTTCAAGTTCAAGCTGAACGTCTCGATCGGAATGTTGTAATTTTCTCCTTTCTGATGTATTGCCTCTTGTTCACACCTGTTATTCAGTAGGACTGAGGTGGTGCAACACCTTAATTGTCTATCAGGAATGCACAGACTGTTCAGCCGTACCAAACTGTAGACTGCATTCCTGGTGGTTACGTTTGTATGACTCGTCAGTTGGCAAGCAGTCGTGTCGCATTTAGCCACGGGGTTGTTCCAAATGACAAACCTCCAGCCAGGCAGGCTACACCCTAGACACACAGAGATATTTTGTCATCAGGATCGCTGTCCTGATGACAAAATGTCTTTCATCACAGTGTTTGACACAACTCTGCTGCATGAAGCTCCATGTGATAACAAAGCACAGTTTAGAATTCAGATCTGTTGCACTTCTGTCATTAAAGTTCACCCCAAAATTAAAAATACATTTTTTTTTTTTATTGCTAGTTTTGGAGATATCAGCCGTAGAGATGTTTTCCTTCTCTCGAATATAATGGAACTATATAGCACTCGGCTTTTGGTGCGTTTAGTTCCAAGCACCAAAAAAAATAAAAGTTTAATGTCAACTATGGTCTTAAGAAAATAGTTCCTATGAAAGTGCTCCCAACAAGACATTTCTACAGCAGATATAAACTCGTACCAAAACAATCTAGATTCATAAATAGCACTACAGTTAATCGGAAAAATATGTACTTTTGATTTCGGGGTGAACTGTCCCTTTTTTAACATGCTGTGTGCACAAGGAAAGAGTCATATGAAAGTGACCTGAAGCCTTTAAGCTAACTCTGCACTGAAGGTTAGTGTGGAGGGTAGTAGATGATTAACTTCTGTTCTTTCTGTTTTGAGTCGCATACTGTATCTCACCTGAAGTGTGGTGTTGGCAGCGGGTTGGCAGAGTTGGTTGTCGGTGTTTCCCTTTCAGCCGATCAGGCCGCTGCAGTAGGCCTCAGCCAGTGGTGGCTGTCGAGGAATGTGTCAACGTCATGTCTAAGTGCACCTCGGGTCGGAGGGGAAAATATACCAAATGGAAAGTATTTGTACTCCCCCAGTACATTTACTCGCATGCCAGACAGCATGTGCTCCTTTACGGTCTGCATTTTGTGAGAGTGACAGAATACAGAGATGCAGCAAATGCCTTTTATAATAATGTTACGACCCGGCTCAAAGACCAATAAACAAACTACATTTCAACAAGGCATATTTTCAGCAGGGAGTCATTTTCCCCCATTAAGCACTATTGTGTTACCTTTACAGAGTTGACATTATTATAGAATGTGAGCGGTGAAGCACATGGTTTGCTCCATGTGCTTCACCGCTCGCATTCAATAATAATGTCAGAAGGTATGGCTCAGCTCTGCGTGTGGTAAGATGAATATGAATTTTAAAAAATTCAGCAGGGAATGTGCCTTATTTTAACGTGGCACATGTGTGTTGTCCCAACCTCATCAATCTTTGTAAATTTGCACATACTGTAGGTGGAGATGACGATGTTGACTTTGTTGTGCGCTCCTGCATAGGTGTGTGTATGTGCTCTCTCAATGTGATGAGAGAACAGTATTATTGAATTTTCTATTCCCTTCTACAATACCCCCCCCCGCCTTTGTGTTGTGCTTCTTGCTACTTGGCAAGAGAAGCACCAACGGCTCCCGCAGCATTATTGTTTTCTAAAGGAAGCAGATCTCTTGACGCATGTGTGGTGAAAAAGAATCCCTGGATCCAGCCCGGGCCGGCTTTATCTGCTACAATCCAGTCTGTGTGGTGTTGGGTTGCCATGGAGCTCGGAGATTCTTGGCTGGGCCGTGTGACGGGGTGGTGACTCAGAGGGTTTTTCATGGCCTCTGGAATGGGCTGACTGCTGACTCCCTGTAACGGGAAGTCAGGTTTTATTAATACCCGCGGTGACGGGCCTCTTTGACGGGTTCGCTGAGCCGACGGTGGCGACAGCAGCAGGCAGAAGCGGACGTCTATACGCCTCACAATGTGTTGACTTTTTGTTTGGTGCCCTTGGTTATCCCCCTCGTGTTAGACAGAACACACAGCAACAGGTGGGGCCGTCACGGCACTTCAGTTGACTGGACACACCTGTTTAGCCCAAAGGCGTGACACTGCGTTGTATGCACAACTACTACTGGGAACACATGATGGTTCCCCCCCCCCCCCCCCCCCCCCAAGCGCACGCCAAGTTATGTACATCTCGCTTTTACTGTTCTCAATTATTTACCAGTCAAATAGTGCTGCAGGGAGAATGGGTGGTATTGTGGCCCAGCAGCTTGAGGGGGGGGGGGGGGGGGGGGG